CAGCGGGGGAGAAACCCCTCCTGGGGACAGGAGATTGACACCTGGACTGCCTTCCCTGGAACGTCCCCACTGTGGCACACCATCACCAGCGGCTCCTCCTGTGCCCCATGTCCCGACTGCCACCCTGTCCTGCACCCTGCGCCCACAGACCTCCGAACACAGCCCCACGGCACCCACCCACTGCAGCAGGGTCTCCTGGGGGTCCAGCATCGCCTGAGCCCTGGAGCAGGCAGGGAAGGCAAAGGACCCGTTTCCCACTCCACCACCCCACCCCAACCCACCCATCTGCTGGCACATCCCTTCACCGGCTACCGAAACACGCCCCTCCCGCGGGGTGTGGGGTCAACCCAATCTCTCCTGCCCCATCCCCAAAGCCAGCGCCAGCTCCAGGATGAATGGGCTGCACTCACCCTGCAGCAGGTACTCTTCAAAGAGCATGGCCGTGTCCCCCACCAGCTCCAGCAGCCCCCGGGCTGGGTGTCCCCCAGCCTCTGCCTCGCTTGTGCCGCCCTGTACTTTGCACGGGGCGGCCGCACTCTGCTCTGCACCGCTCTTATCTCCCAGCCTTGATGAAGACGGCAGCGCCAGCGGCACAACGCGACGTCCCCGTTGGCCCAGAGCTGCTGCAGGCACCCTGAGCTGGGGCCTGGCCCTGCTGCCGGTGCAAGGGGTGACATCCCTCATTTGGGGCTTAATGAGCTGTGGTCCCGAGCCTGGGATGTGCTCCCACTGGGGAGAGGGAACACAAAACGAGGGTGGAGAGGGGCACAAGACCAGTATAAACCACAACAAGTTGTGTTCAATGCCACCTTTTATTGTGCACACTCACTGCCCCGGCTTCCAGGCTCACCTGAACTTCGGGGAGGATTTTTGTGTGCTGCAGCCACCTGGAGAGAGGCGGCACTGGCTGGATGGAAACCTGCCTGGCTGGATGCCGCCCCTTTGGAGACGTTCTGGCAGCGGTTGAGCGAGGAGCGAAGCAGTGCACAGAAAACCCTGTGGTGCCCAGGGCTGGGACCCATCTGTGCTCCGGGGCCGGCCCCAGTGGAGGCAAACCCGGCTGTATCTTCTCCGAAGGTGCTGAGGTGACACTTTTTAAACCAAATCCTCCTGTGGCTGCTGCTTGTGCCATGGGCGCCATGACTGGGGGCCGAGGCACTGTGTCCGTGGTCCCCTGGGGTCACACCAATTCCACCCCATGCTCCCCTCCACCCGTGTCCCCCGTCAGCCCCGCTGCCCTCTCCAGCCCTGGCCAAGGAGCCGAACCCCAGCCGGGGGGGTTTATTTCCTGCGCCCGAGGCGGGCCATCAGCTCCGTGTTGGCGGCTGCCTTGGCCCGCAGCTCCTTCTCTCTGGCCAGGTCAAGCAGGATTTTCAGTACGTGGGTGGGGACATCAAGTGACAGGGACACCTTCCGCGCCTTTTTCCTGGGAGCAGGTCTCCTGACAGCTGGGCTCATTGGCCAGGGGAATGCTTTTCTTGCTGATCCCTCTAGCAGCAGTGGGCTGGCTTTGTCCTCAGAGCCATGGTCGCTACTCCTCATTTTGGGGAGACCCAGCCATGTCTCGTTAGTGCCAGGGGTTTCCTGCCTTGTCAGCTTGCCTCCATCCCCATCTCGGAGGGCTGGCGAGAGCCGCTCATGGCTCGGCCCCTTCCAGGCTCTCACTGGCCCCCCAAGGACCACCAGGAAGGTGAGCAGCGTCCTGCAGCTCAGTGTGGCTGGGAGCACCTGGGGGAGCACACAGCCGGCACTGAGCATCGCCCCACGGCACGCTGCCATGACCCCACAGACCCCCAGGCAGGACCTGTCCCATCGGGATGCTACATGCAAGAGCCCCTGCTCCCGATGCCAGCTGACCACGCCCGGCACGGTGGGGGCTCACCTCCCTTTTGGGCAGCCTTTGGTTTTCCACCCTGATTTTAACCTTTTTGCATGGGGAGTGTGCAGTTTTGGGGAGGCTGAAGGGGTTGCAGGAAGCAGATCAGCAGGGTGTCCTCATCCTTTCCCGCAGTCCCTGGCCAGATGCTGTCTGCCCCCTCCATTTCACACGGTCCAGCCCTTTGCCGCCAGGGGAAGGGACGTTCCCACCCAGGGGGGTGACAGCTTGGGGACAACGTGCACTCCCCAGCCCAGACCTGCCCTTTGGCCGCGGAAGCGTGACGTGTCTGAGGTTTCAGGACCAGGCGAGCTGTGGGGTTTCCCTCCTCCCACGCTTTCCCCTTCGGATGCTGTCCCTCCACAGGGCTGCTGGGCTCTCTGGGACAAAAGCCACTCCACTGGGAGGCACACGAGCCACTTGGCCTAAAATACACAGCAGGTCAGTGGCTGCAGGGAGACAAGGGCACGAGTCCAGCCACGTGCACTGAGTTCTGCCGAGCCTCAGCATCTTCCTCCTGTCCAGCCCCCATGCTGGTGCCAGGGAGGGCCCCAGGGGATACAAGGTGCTGAGCCGTGGGGTGGGGTGTCAGGGTGCTGTGGGTACAGGGGCACAGCCGCACAAATCCTGCTGTATAGCCTCTCCTCCCGCAAATCAGTCATCCAGCAGGGATTGCCCAGCTGGAAGGAGGGCAGCAAAAGGCATCCAGCCTCCTACAACCCATCTCCAGGGTGAAACCCTTCAGAAAGTACCAGATCGGGCAGCCAGAGGTGGTTTAACTAGCTGGAAAGAGAGCAATGAAAAGCATCCAACACCCTGCAACCCATTTCCCGGCTAAAACTGACCCGGAAAGCATCACCAAAGAGTGCAGCCTCACCATTTCCAGCAAGTCCTCGTCCCGCTGATGTTCAGGCGATGCTCCTGGGGTGCAGGAACCACGAGCTGGGGGTTTGCCCTGCTCCCTGCCGAGCCCTGTCTCTTATCCTGCCCCCAGCTCCACCTCCGACCCACAGAGGGGGTGATGGTGACACACAGCGGGGGGGGACGGTCTTGATGTTATTAATACATTTTGCCTAATAGCTGATGAAATCATCCTGGCCTGTGGGTGGGCGTTTGCCCCCTCAGCTCTATACGCTGTGTTTGGAGGGGATTCTGGGGATCCAGGGTGGCTAAGGAGTAATTATTCACATCTGACTCGCAAGAGGGTTTTTATCCATCTAATTGAGCCTTCCTGCTCCTGTCAGCCTTGGTTAATCATGTCAGGAAGGGAGAAAAACACACATGCATATGCCTGCGTGGCACTGACAGCAAGTGCCAGCCTCCCTGGCGTTGTGCCGCACTAGGATCCCAGACGTCTCCCGGTGCCGGTTTGGCGCTGCTGTCCTGATGGGCTCCTTGGCCCTGGCCAGCTGGGGGACATTGCTGGAGACACGTCATCTCTCCGCTGTGCCAAGCCTGGAGTGCTGCTTGGGCCACTGGTTTGCAGTCAGCTACACCAGTCCAATAAGGACACCACTGGTTTGCAGTCAGCTACACCAGTCCAATAAGGACGCCACTGGTTTGCAGCCCACCTGCACCCAGTCCAGCCTGGTCCAGCCCCTCTGCCAGCTGCTTGCAGCGGGGAGCAGCCTGTAGGCACTGCATAGGGTAAGCCCTGTGCAGAAGGGTTTTGCCCCAGAGTTCCCACTTAGTGGCTATGGGAGCACCAGGGGCTCTCAGGCCAGGCAGGCACCCGCGTGAGATGAGTTGGTAGGTGCTCAGCCCTGAGGGCTGGCCAGGGCGAGGGGCCAGGGTGCCCGGGGCTGGGGCTCAGGCCACTGGGGTCTTGTTCACCCCCATAGCCGCAGGGTGACCTATCCTGTGCCAGCTGCCCCACGGCCTCCCTGGAGGCAGCAGGAAGAGGAAATAATGCTGGCTCTGTTCCTCCTCCCAGGGATGGCCGAGAACTCACCCCTTGGCTTGGTATAGCAGCCAAAATTAGCCGGTGGCACTGATTCACCCAGTGCATCATGCAGCACCGCAGCCCCGCGTGCCAACACGTCACAGCCTGGCCAGGGGGTCATGGCCTGGCTTGCATCAACCGGGCATGCACCAGGCACGGGGACGGGTCCCTAGGGGGGTGAGGACCCCCAGACGGCACTGCTACACACAGCACACATCTGTACACGCCTGCACACACACACATGCACGCACACACGCACGCATGCACACATGCATGCACGCACACTCCTTGCGCTCCATATGCAGCACATGTGCACGCATGGTGCATTTGCTTACACACCGTGCACATGCAT